AATATGAAGTAAATTAAGTTTTGCTGTCTGTGGAGAGTAGGTTTCATTTCAATGAAATCTTTGCCTTTTGTCTTTTTGGAGAAGATCAAATTCATTGCACTTAATTATGAGCACTGTATTAAGACACAGTTTATACATTTGCACTGTGCAAATTCACTGTAATTAGTGAAAAAAAGTTTTCTGGGAGGATGGTGAAGGCTTGCGGGGGCTGTAGGAGATAGATCCTGTGTTGGCATCACATTTAAGAGCCTAAAAGCAGGTGAAATGAATTCAGTCTTTGAATAATTAATAGTAAACTTCTTCTTCACTGGGAATGCATTATCTGTTTATACACAAGGAGAGTTTCTAGACGAGAAGTGTTTCCTATGAACAATGTTTATTGATGTCTACGTGTACAAAAAGCTAAAAGCAGTAGAACACTTTGGATCTCACTGTCATTCTGAAATGCAGAGGTTAAACCTGACTTGTAAATAATTTGTACTCCGCTATACAATAGCGATTCAAGATTACAAAGTAACTTTTTGATGGAGGTTTTTCTCTATAATCCAAAGCTCAAATTGGAATCTTGGTAAGATTTTGTGCCCTTCCATAGTTCGTGCAGAACAGCTTTAGTTTTCACTTTGAATTTTATTGCCTTTTATTTTCTGAAAAAAACCTGTAAAGTACATCCTTGTTGAAAAAATAAAATATAAGAAACATTGCAATTTCTTGACATATCGGAAAGATTTTTATAAGGGTATTGTATGTGCTTCCATATATCTTCTCTTTTAGTTTAAATTTCTGTCCTCCATCCATATATATATCAGTTACTTTCTCTTCATCTTCTTGACAAGCTACTCCTTTTTTTCTGAACCAGCTACAAGAAGTAAGACATTATTTGGTGGCAGAACACAGTTGTTGTTCTTTGGACTATGCTTCTTTTTGTTGTAAAAAAAAACAAACAACCAAACAACCCCTAAACCAAAGCAAGAACCTCAAAAGCAAACAAACCAGGACATTATTTGGTGGCAGAACACAGTTGTTGTCCTTTGGACTATGCTTCTTTTTGTTGTAAAGAAAAAAAACAACAACCCTAAACCAAACCAAGAACCTCAAAAGCAAACAAACCAATAACATGTAATTGTTATTATTATTACTACCATTTCTCCTAGCCTTTCTGCCTTGACATCTAAAGGAAATAAATTAATATGCTTATTCCTACCCTTATACTTCATGTGTTCTGTCCTTCTTTTCTTTTTCCCCATTACAGACTTCATGAAGACTCTGTTCAGATGTTATAAGAGATTATTTCAGTCACGCTTTAATTCATCTCAAGGATCCTCTGGGAATTTATTTGCTGGGGAAAAAACCCACTACCCCCAACCCCATTTCATTCCGTAATCATGGCATTTGCTCTTATATTCAAGTCCTGCTCTAGGGTGTAAAAAGTTTAGTATCTGGAGAATGGATACTACACTGGGGATTTTTGTTTGTTTGCTTTAAGTTGTTAGGTTCAAATATGCTAAGTATTTTCTAAAGATATTTTGGTGAATTTATTTTAATTGAAAAAGTATCACTACATCTACTAAAAGCTATAAGTGTAGATCTGTGACAGTCAATCTGAGATGGTTCTTTGTATTTTTGGAAATCCCTTTTACCCAGCTTCTTTGGATATGCTTCATATATACAATAAAGAATGACATTGACAGCAATTTTTTAATTAAATAAAAGTTACCTGAGAATGACATTTTTAGTTCATACAAAGGATTCTTTTTTTCCTTGGTGTGAAGTTTGGACAATGAAACTGTATGCCCCTCTGTGTATCTATATACTTAAAATATGTTGTTAGAAAAAAAGGATATACTGTTGCAGTAATGTAGATAAATTAATAAAATATCAAAGTTGGTGTTTAATTTTTCTCAAAGAAAACAATTTTATAAGGTAGAGCAGGGACATTCTTTCCAGGGAGTGCTTTTGCAGGAGAGGGAGCAGAGTTACTGATGGTCAGGAGAGCAGCATTGTTCTGAACTGTGACTTAAAATCACAAGGTGCTTTGAAAACACAATGTATCTCACTTTGTTACGCTTCTTTAGCTGCAACTTATTTAAAAAAAAAAAGAAAGAGTAAGTTTAGTGTCCTTTTGCATGGATTTGTGCCCAAGTTGCCTTTTCACTTGTATGTCTGTTCAGTGTTTTCAGTAGGACTTCATTGGCCTTGGTTATTAATTTTGTTTGGGAAAGGAAAGAACTTCACCATTTATTTTAATACGTAAAAGAAGGAGTAGCAAGAGAAAGTGTCAGTTCTTGTCTGAAGTGATAGTGGACGTGTTGGGTCTGTAAGGGTGGAGAAGGACGAAGAAAGTAAAGAAGGTGAAGGCTTAATTAATTCTTTCAGTAATTAACTCTTTAAAAGAAAAACGTGGCAGTTTCATGGACAGCGACATTTCTTAAAAGACAGTATTTCTTCACCAGTGTAAGCAACTCGTTATCTTTTACAAACCATGGGAAGCCAACGCTGCGCTGCGAGCTGAGAGCAGTCTGAGGCTTGTGAGGCCCCCGCTGGGTGCCTGAGGGGCGTTCTGGGCCCCCCACACCCTTGGGCTGTGTGTGGGGAGGGACCGGGCCGCAGGGCTCGCCAGAGGGAAGGGGCGGGACAGAGCTCGGCGGTGCCGCCTGCCCTGCGGCCAGGGGAAGGCGCGGGAAGCCGCCTACAACCGGCCCTGGGGAACGCAGCCAGCGCCGGCAACTGAGGGAGCGCAGGAAGCGGCGCTTGAGGGGGGCGGTTCAGGAGTTTGCGCGGGAAGGGCTGCGCGCTCCGCCGCTGCTCGCTCTGCTCATCCTCAGGCTTAGGCTGCTGCCCAGGCGGTCACCCCAGGTGGCTGGTGCTGTGCGAGCCTACCCAGCAGCTTGAGGCTCCGAAGGGCTCATCAGACTGTGCCATGAGGCTGTCAGAATGTGGTGGTAGAGATCGGGCAACCTTGCCCCGTGAGCCTGGTGTGAGCTACAGGAGACAGTGAGTAGGCTGGGCTGTGCTGAGGCTCCGAAGGGCTCATCAGACTGTGCCGTGAGCCTGTCAGAATGTGGTGGTAGACACCGGGCAACCTTGCCCGGTGAGCCTGGGGTGAGCTACAGGAGGCATTGAGTAGGCTGGGCTGTACTAGGGAGAGGGAACAAGAAACAGGATTATTTGAGACTTTGCAAGAAGAAATCCGAGGGCCCTGAGACACTGACCTCCAAGGACTCCCAAAGAGCTTCAAACAGCATAGACAGAGCCTTGGAGAAGGAGGTGCTGTGGTCTCTGGTGACCCACAGAAACTTCCCATCGCTTCCCTCCCCTTCCGCACATGTACCAACCAGCAACAGATAGGAAGCCTTGGAAAAGGACAAAAACCATAAGCAAGATTCACAGGGAGAAGCCACAGCAGCAGCACGTAGTAAAAGCTGCAAAAGCACATGGCTGGTGCTAGCAATGGGTCACTCTGCTGAAAGACACCGAGACACCCATCTGCTGGCCTGCTGTACAGCCAAGGGTAGTTTGCTGCTTGCCAGCAGCCAAGATCTGGGATGTCACAGAGAGATGACTGCCACAGCTGGTTAAAAGCCCAAACTGCTGTCCCCTACATTTCCTGGACAAGATCAAGCATGACTTAAGAGCTCTGGGGATGCAAGTGAAAGGGACAAGTGCCCAAGTGATTTTATTCTCTGTTTTGCCAGTTGAGTAGGGGTGCAGGAGAGGTTGACACATGATACAGATCAATATATGGCTGGTGGTGGTGTCAGGGCTTTGGTTTCTGTGACCACTAGTCACTCTATGATGAATATAGACTATTGTAGAGAGGTGGGATTCACTCTTCTAGAAGAGGAAGGAGAATCTTCAGTAGCGAATTGGCCAACTTAGTGAATCATCCTTTTAACTATTGAACTTGGTGGGTTAGTGTCCAAAGCTGTGGCATGTGCATATTCGTAAGCAACAGGGTGAGTGAGCACACCTACCAGAGCAGTGAGGAATGCTCCCCAACCCTCTCCAAAGGCAAAAATCCTAAGTGCTCCCATCTCAATTGCATGTCTACCAGCACACACAGTCTGGGTAGCAGACAGGAGGAACTGGAGCTCTGTGCCCAGTCTGAGAGTTATGAAATCATGGGAATGATAGAAACTTGGTGGGAAAACTCACATGGCTGGAAGGCCACAGTGGATAGCAACAAACTCCTTTGGAAAGATAGGAAGGGAATAAAAGGGGATAGAGTTGCAATTGCTGTGAAAGACAAATTTGAGTGTATGGAGGTGAGCTATGGAGACCACGAAAATTCTATCAAATGCCTTTGCATCAAGGCCCTGGGTTCTAGAAGAGCTTATATACTCAGAAGAGCTTCAATATACTCAGAGCCCAGCTGTGAGGGACTCCATGGGAAGCATGTTGTTGTGAGTGCTGGGAGTTATTCAAGAACAGGCTTCTGGAAGCACAAAAGCAGTCCATCCCCTACCAAGGGAAGGAAAAAGGCAGAAAAAGAGACCTCCCTGGCTAAAAATGAGCTTTTGGGTGTGCTTAAAAGCAAAAAAGCATGGTGTCTACAGAAAGGGAGCCAAATACCCATCAAGTACTACGAGAACCTTGCTTTGGAGGCTCTCGAGATGTAATAATCTCATTTAGGCTTCCTTTCCCTTTAAAGTTTGAACCAGATAATCTTTCAAGGTCTCTTCCAACCTGGGCTATTCTATGATTCTGTTTTGTTTCATTTCTGACAAGGGTATTAAAACAGTCTGAAGTGCAGTCTTTTAACTTTATGTGACTCTGTCTGTGTAAATGCTAAGTAGCCAAAATATGGGATGCTTTGCTTTTTATCACTATATCCTCTAATTGTGGGTTCTTTTGCATTTTATACTTGTTAGAATTCGTGCTGGATGTTTGCTCAAAGATTAAATTAATGTTGATCTGCTGTTAAGGAGGAAAGAAAACTGACTTTATTGCCTCAAATAAGGCTTTCCTGTAAGTAACTGTAAATTGTGCCTTTTATTTTGCAGGCACTATAAGAAGCGTTGTCAAGGCCGGATGCGGAAACACGTTGGTGACCTGTGCTTACAAGCTGGCATGTTGCAAGATTCCTTGGTGCATTATCACATGGCGGTGGAACTTCTGCGGTCTGTGAATGACTTCCTGTGGCTTGGAGGTAGGATCAATTCATGAGAGCAAATCAATTAATTGGTTGCTAAAACCAAGTAAATCAAACTCTCTTCTGTAACTTTTATGCTGTATTATGAAAATTGTTTTGGAGACCAAAATCTGAATATCAGGTGTGGCTAAGAAGACAGTAAGAGTACTGTACTCAATATTCAGCCTCAGGGATGGGCAGCTTTTTGGACTTTATACTGCTGATCGTAATTCTTTGAGCTTGGCTGTCCAGCCTGTTTTCCACCTACTTTTTAGGCTGGCTATCCAAGTCTTATTTCATCAATTTAGCTGGCAGTGTGCTATGGGACACCAAGTCCAAAGGTCTTGTGAAAGCGAAGATGTACAACATCCATTGCTGTTCCTTTGTCCAGTGAGCTTGTAATCTCATCATAGGAGGCAGTGAGGTTGCCAAGGTGTTATTTATCCCCAGTAAATTGATGTTTGCTGTTCCCAGTCACCTTCTTGTCCTTCATGTGCTTGGAAATGGCTTCCAGAAGGATTTCTTTATAGCTTTGCCAGGGAGCTGAGGTTGACCTGTGTGTAGACTCCTGCGTCTCGAAGGAGCGTGTGATGTTTCCATTTGTCCCGTCATTAGAAACCTCCCGCAATTGTCATGACCTGTTGGAGATGATAGAGTGGCCTTATGTTGGCCAACTCTTTTGACATCCATGGATGCATCTCACCTGGCTTTGTGGATTTGCATCCAATTGGATTAAGTGCTACTTTGTCTTCCTCTGCTGTGGCAGGTGTGCACTCCTGCAGATTCTGCTTGTGGGCTTGGGGACCTGGGAGGTCTGAGGTAAGTGCTACTTTGTCTTCCTCTGCTGTGGCAAGTGTGCACTCCTGCAGATTCTGCCTGTGGGCTTGGGGACCTGGGAGGTCTGAGAATAAAGAGAACCACAGAATCATTAAGGTTGGAAGAGACCTCCAAGATCATCAGGTCCAACCATCAACCCAACCCCACCACGCCCACTAAACCATGTCCTGAAGTGCCACATCCACGCGCTTCTTGAACACCTCCAGGGTTGGGGACTCCACCACCTCCCTGGGCAGCCCCTTCCAGTGTTTGAGAGTGTTTCACCTTACAAGTGAAAATGGAGGTAAAAAGGACATTGAGTATCTCAGGCTTTTCCATGACCTTTGTCACTAGGTCTCCAATTTATTTACACATAGTTTGTGTTTGTGTAAATAGACTTTTATACATGGTACTGTACTTCTTGCAAGTATCTCTACTGATCTGTTGGTATTTTTTGTTTATTCTCCAGCTGCTCTTGAGGGATTATGCTCAGCATCAGTCATCTATCATTATCCTGGTGGTACTGGAGGTAAAGTTGGATCTCGTAGGGCACAAGGAGGTTCTCTTTCTGCTGAGGCAGGCAACAGACACAGACCAGGTAAGCACGGGATTTGGTTTTTATTGTTTGCTACCACTGAGCATCTGAAAATTTCCTCCCTGCTTCCTAACTCTGTAAAATTATACTGATGACAGGATAAACTGGAGTTAGGAGTGTATTTATTTTTAATTATTTTTACATGAATGACTTTTCTGCTGCTTTGGTATTAATGTTGACATGTGCTTTGCATAGAGTTGCAAAGCTTTGATCTCTTTGTCTGATTGTTAACAATGTCTGTGTTAGTTTGAATTTTGCCAGAGGACATGCAGACAGTTTTCGTAAAGTACAAACAGCGTGGCAGAGCTGCACATACTGAGAAGAATAAGTTAGGTACATTTATTCAGAGATGTTTTGCCATTCTAAACGCAACCTTCAAAGAGATTTGGCTAACTGAATACCAATAGATGAACATCATTTTTAAGATTTAGTATACTTTTTCTAAACTCACATTCATCATATTAGTTATGCAACCTGTATTAACATGGGTATGATAGCCATTCCTTGAGAAATGGCCTGCTTAAACTATCTGAGGAATTATTAGGATAGTAACAGAGATTAAAAAAGAGAAAATATCATTAAGCCTGCGGTTCACCTGCATCTGGAATACTGCATCCTATTTCAGTTTCCCTGCCCAAATAGGGTGCTTGTGTTCCCCATCTTCCATTTTTCTACTGGAAGGAGGTTGCAGAAGGGCAACAAAGATGATCTTGGTATGGTTTCTGTACAAAGAGATGGCGATACAGACCAACACAGACAGAAACCACAGAGCTCATGCAAACACAGCACTAATTCTGCTCCCCTCTCTGGCTGATCAGGATGAAAGCCTGTGGGTAGTATGGGTCCCTCCAGGAGCTGGTTTTGGTCCCTCAATCTATCCAGTAACTGGCTGCTGGATCTCCAGGTCTCACCAGTTACTGGCACCTGGACCTACAAACCTCCAAGACCCAGAGCCCCATTCCAGTTGTTGGTACTTAGACCTAGACACACACACATTTACCTTATCCCTCTATTTTTCCGTGTGTGTTCCTCCCTAAACTGCCTTGATCCCTTCCTTGCCTTTGGTTTGTCCCCTAAACATCCCATAAGAAACCTTGTGCAATGCCAAGATGTTAGAATTATAGAATCACAGTGTGGTTTGGGTTCGAAGGGACCTTAAATCTCCCCCAGTCCAACCCCTGCCATGGGCAGGGACACCTCCACCAGCCCAGGCTGCTCCAAGCCCCATCCAACCTGGCCTTGAACACTGCCAGGGAGGGGGCATCCACAGCTTCCCTGGGCAACCTGTGCCAGTGTCTCACCAGCCTCACAGGAAAGAATTTCTTCCCAATATCTAGCCTAAATCTCCCCTCTTCCAGTTTAAAACCATTCAATTATTCTATGGTATGATTCTAGAACACCAGATAATTACGATAGTAAAATTATTTTATTTCAGGAGAGAATACTAATTTTATTGCATAATATCTTCATTAATACCTCTGCATTTGGTCCCATGACCTATCAGTGCATTTTATGTTGGCTACTATGGTCTAATTTCACACAGTTACTAACATTTGTCCACTTTTCAACAAATATTTAACAGTAGGTGTTGCAATTTGTAATGGTTTCCCCTTGTTTTAAAGGAGGTAACAAGTCACAGCTATCAGAATAATTGAATAAAATATATTTTGAGTACATTACTGCTGCTTCTCTATTTAAGTTACCTTGTAATTCAAGGTCCTGTTTGCAAACTTGTTAGCATGGTCATATTTAAAAAGTATTTTAGTTTCACATGACAAGATTTTCCAAAGGAATTTTGTGTGAAGGAAAACTGATTGTAGGTTTTTTGTGCCTGTACTTCAGCCTTGACAGGATGAGGTTTCTTGGTACACCTTTTGTGCCCAGTCAAGAGGAATCCCTTTCTCTTGAAACACCTGATTTCCACCATTTGCCATTTTATGCTATTGCACAGGGTCTGACTGCTCAAAGAAATGTTGTGGTGCCTGCTTTATGTAGAAACATATTTGGAAAGAGAAGCATTAATGTAATCTCTCTTTGTATAATATAGAGCACAAGTTTAAGAGGGTGGTGGTTTCTTATCCTACTAAGCAGAATTGCAAAGTATTTCATACCTATCTGTAACCATCACAATATTGTCTGTTTTTTGTTGTTGTGTCCTTTAACTTCTTTTGAAATTTTTGATAGGAATAGTTAATTCAGAAGAGAATTAGTTGGTAACACGATGTTTAAAGTACTTGTCTGCTGGAAGGAGACATGGATCCTTGCCTGCTCCAGAGACAGGTTTCTTCCTCGGTCATTGCAATGAGCCCTTGGACTGCCGTGTCTTGCTGGTTGTGGAAAGAAAACTTGTGCATTTTAAAGAAATGTGACTTCTCACGTTCCTAAAACCTTTCATTTGTAGGGGAAGAGCTTTAGGCTGTGTCCCCACGAACAGCTGGATTTGTCCCTGTGTGAAAGAGGATTTTAAGTTGCTTAGTTCCTGTTGGCCAGGAACCTGGCCATGGTCTGTTGGTTACGCAATTTGTATGTTGTATGTTGAATGTTGAATTTAGGTTGCTTTATGCTTAGTTTTGGGTTTCTTTATTGTGTTTTAACTATTTGAAGTTCTAAACTCTTAATTTTGTCACCAGAGCTTCCTCTTTCCCCAAGCAGAATTTGGAAACCTGAGTGAACTGCTGGAATCTTTCTTTTTTTGATCTATCTCCAGCTCTACTTCTGTAGCCTGGAGTTTGAGTAAATCAGCCAAAGGGAGGTCCTGTCTCACTCATAAAGCAGTCAAACTTTTTGTCTGCTTAACCCTTGATCTTAATTTTATTGCCATGTTTAATCAAAGTTTAGGTCAAAACATTGTTATATATCTGAAAATCCAACTTTGTGATACTCTTGGTGACTATTTTATGTGAATAGTCTGGCTTGTTGGGTTGGTGTGACTCAGTTATTCGGAAAAGTTGATGGAGTCAAATTAATGACGTTTCAAAGGGATACAGTAACTTAAATGTTATTCCAGATTATTGTGTAGATTAATTGAGCTCTTACAAGGAGATTTAGGTACCATAGGACCTGGTATTACAATATGTAAGTGAATTGTGATGGAAACACTTGCCAAGTAAAACAAGAATACCAAAAAAGGAGAAAAAGGATATGGCTTTACATTAATCACTGAAAATTCTTCAATTCTTCTTGCTGTGTCTTAGAGTTTGGTGCAAGTTTATACGATTTTTACATTTATTTTTTTAACAAAATGAGATTTTACGTGTGGTGACTACTTGAATTATAATTGGTAGTCCTTCAAGATATTGATGATGATCCTAATAAATCTTGAACAATTTTGTTCAAGCCTGACGTTAATTATAAAACATGATGAAAGCTTATTTTGTTGGCTATATTTGAGGCTGAAAAAAAATCATTTTTGTTCCTCCTTTCAGGGGCACAAGAAGTTCTCATTGATCCAGGTACTTTCTTTTCATGCATGTTTCCAAAGTCTTTTCATTTTACTACTTGCATTTGTTTTGCATTTGTGTAGATATTTACTGCCACTTGCTAAAACCAGTACTGGTTCCTGATGCTTCAGGTTTTGGCTCTAAATCCTGAGGAAGCAAAGAGACTGAAGGGTAACTGGTACGAAATAGATGATGTAGTTCCTGATCGTGTCCCTCTAAATTCCAATCAAGACTTTTTTTTCTTGAGTAATGAGGATTTTAATTTTTTTTTAGTGGTCCCATGTAGTCTTGTAGTGTCTCTTTCAATCATCACTAACAAAGATTTGGGTCTTAACTTCCATAAAAACCCTAAAGTGTTAATCTATAAAAGTGCTTGGTCTGATTCTTTAAGGTTGACAGACATTAAAAAGTTGCTTTAGCATTTCAGCAAGTGAAATAACGTATTTCTGAAGATATAAAGGGAGTAGAAAGTTCTCTTTCGCAGTAGTTTTTAACTGTTTATTGAGAGTTAGGTCCAGCTCTGAAACACAAAGATTCCTTTGCAATCTTAGTGAAGAAACCTCTTGGAGAGAGAAATTACCATAGAAATTTAGGCATGTAATCCTACAGATTAAGTAACATGTAAAAAGACACAGAGCCTTGCCAAACCCATTGATGTATGTTTTCAATTTTATTACATTAACTCCGCAATAAAATTAAATTCTAGAAATAAAATTTTCATGTTCTTTGTAATATCCCAGATTTCCTTGACTTATGTTTCTGATTCTTATCCCTTATGTATGTAAAGTCTCTTTCTGTCTCTCATATTCTTTCTTATATAAGAAAAACAATTTCTTACAGCTTTGTCTGAGCCTCAGGTAATTTTTTTTTTTATGTGGAAGGCTCAGATTTGGTGGCCTTAGTTACAATGTTACACTTGTTCCTTTGTGATCAGACACAGAGAAGTATTTGTTTTAAGTGATTCCAGGAGAAGGTCACTGTTCTAATATCCAGTTTATAAAAAATAATCACTATTTTCCTTAGGTGAGCTTTAGAAATACAGTTTTTATGTAGAACAAGGAATAATTCAAAGATTAAAATTGCATATTCAGACGTGGCCGCAATCTAATATTTTATTCATAGTCTAGAGACTCAGATAAGTGTAAAAGATTATGAATATATTTGGCTTTTACTAAGTGAAAGACTGTTTTCTGCTTGCTGGATTATGACTGAATCCATTTTTCATTTGCAGTTTTTCATTTGAAAATAACACAGTAAAGCAGAATTAGTGTTTTCTAGGTAGGGTGCTGTATGCTTTGGTCAAACCTCCAGCATATCCTAATTTTCTTCTTAAATATTTTTTTTATTTGCTAGAAGCCCTTCTGCTCACTTCTTACCCTGTTCTGTTCTAGGTGCACTGACCTCGAATGGTATAAATGCAGACACCAGTGCTGAGATCGGACGCGCCAAAAATTGCCTTAGTCCTGAAGACATCATAGATAAATACAAAGAAGCCATTTCTTACTATGGCAAGGTAATACTGTTTATTTTTGAGAAACTTCACTGAAATTCCTCTGAATAATGAACTGCTGTAGCTTTCATTTTCAGATTGCATGTGCAGTAAAGTTTGTAAAACATATGATAACAGAAGAAATAGGAGTAATTTATACTAGTGAAGCTTTAATCACTTTTTAATTTCAGGTTTCTTGTTTGATACTGAAAGTTTCTTTAGACTAAACTGTGAATGTGATGTGACATTTCCATCTCTGTGTTGAAGGGGGACTCTTCAAATCAAACAAGATAAATTAATTGTGTGCATGAGTTAATTTATCAGGAGCTATGAAAGGTGATAGTTTTGGAGATAATTTGAGATAAATTTGAATCCATCAGTATGACAATAATTCTCAAGTAGACACTCAGCTTTTTATGTTACCTTAAAGTTGAGTTGCTCATCTAGAAAGATTATGATTTCTTTCAAAATTACTGGACTTGGTTGGACTTAGGGCAAGATATTTCTATTTTAATGATAATAATATATGTTACGCTCTCAGCGAGTAATAACTGTGCTTGTCTGCAGCTTCACTGGCAAATAATGAAGAGCTCTGTCTTGGGACTGATTTATAACTGTTCAAGACAACCATAGTTAGCTTTTATCTGTTCAAGAGCTTCAGATAGAGTAACTCCTAGCTTTAATGCTGAAAAAGCAGCACTTTCTATGTATTTTTTGTTATCAGTGAGATTAAGAAACTTTTGTAGCATCTTCTAGAATGGATTCAATCTCCAATGATTTGGGTTTTGCTGATATAAATGCACAAGAGAGGAATGCAACTGCTTTGGTGGAGTAACTTGCATTTTGTTGTGAGCTTTATTTCCCCCATTATATTTCAAACATGATAAATACCTGAGCAGTGTTTAAGTTCAGGAGGACATAGGCAGACTCAAATATCCAATACCAGTATTGTTTGAGGAAATAAATAAATCAGATTATTTGTCTAGATAATTGCCTGTGTTTGTTGTCCAAACTCAAACAGATCAATGTGCATCTACATTGTCTCCTGCCTTTCTTAAGCCAAGCTGAATAACTGAGTCTTTTGCAGAGAATGTTTTGTAAATAGATAGTAGAAAACTCGCAATGGTTTGTAATTCACTTGCCATCAGTGATAGTGTTTTAACTAAATAGGAAGTTGATGCAATAAAAGTAAAGTTCTGTTGCTACAGCTTCCTGTGCTAGAGAGTGTATTTTGTAGTAAGTAAAAAAGGCAAGATGAATTCTTTGTTTATTATGATAGAACAGTTTTAGGTGGTGAGGAATTACTGTAAAATTGGCCTTTTTGCTTATATACCCATTACACTGTGAGGGTAGAATTTATGTCCTTGTTGCAGACACACCACCCACACCACCATATACATGAAGTTATCCAAAATGATACCAGTATCCCCAACTTTTCTCCTCGTCTGAATGCTCTGTGCTGTGTCTCAAAATAAGAAGAGTGAGCGAAGAGGCTGAAACCTGTTGCTTTGCATAATAACATTTTAGATGACACCTTAATTTTCACTTGGGCATACATTGATATTTTAACAGTGTAGTCACTAGCATTAAGGAATTGCTGGGTTTGGAAGATGTGACAGCTGATTTATGTGTTGAGCAGAAATACTTATCAAAACTAACAGCTGCAAAACTCCAATATTATTTTAATTTTCTCCCCCTTCAAGTACAAGAACGCTGGTGTGATTGAACTGGAAGCCTGTGTGAAGGCAGTGAGAGTCCTTGCAATACAAAAAAGGAGCATGGAAGCCTCTGAGTTTCTTCAGAACGCAGTTTATATCAACCTTCGTCAGGTCGGTGTGGGAAGTCCAGTTACTTTTCTCTTCTCGTTTGAGGGGTTTTATTAAGTGTGAAAGTTACTTAGATTCAAGGGAGTCCAGTTTATTTTCTGTATCACTGCCTTCCTTCTCACCAGGACTTGATCTCTGAGGATTTTCACGTCTGTGAGGCTGGTTCAAAAGGTATTCAGAAACATCATCTAAAAACATGAGGACTTAGTTTGAGATTATATTGGTTTCTATTCTACTGGTTATTCTCCCTTGTGGAAAAAAAAATCCCATTGTTGTTCTATTTTGATGTTGTACTGGGGAAAAATAGCTGCTTGGGACAGATCTGTAATGGGTTTTTTTTCTTGATTGTATTTTGCTCAGTGAAACTGTGAGCAGATAAGGAATGGCCTGTTGCAAAGTGAGCTTAAGAGTGTGTAGTGTGAAGTCTTGGTTAGGCCAAATCAAAAAGGAATTCAGAGGAGAAAATCAGGATTTGAAACTGTGAGAAAAAAGCTCAGTGATGCCACTGAACGAGAGCAAATTTATGTGGGTAGTAGAATACTTTCTCATTTCTTTTTCTCATTTGTGGAGAATCCTTTCTGTGGAGTCGATTTTCTAATTACTTAATAGACTTAATAATATTAAATATTTAATTTAATAAAATGCTAATAAAATACAGCACCAGTGAAAGCAGGATGGTTACACTGAGAGGGGGAGTAGGCTCTGGGAGCAGAATGATGGGTGAGACCCTTCAGAGGTGACAACTGTCAAGGAACAAGAGCCATCCCTAGCAAACTTTCCAGTTTATAGTATTTCCTTTCTCTGGCTCACCCCATTTCATCTCGCTCCTGATGTGTTTGCAATCAGCTTTAAAAGCTCCTGAAGTTCATCAGAAGACACCTGACTCTGGTGGATTCTCTAGGAGAAGTAACTCTCAGACGATTGTGCTGACATTTGAGAGAGAAAACAACAATGATCATAGAATCACAGAATGGTTGGGGTTGGAAGGAACCTTAACGCTCATCCAGTCCAACCCCTGCCATGGGACACCTCCCACTAGACCAGGTTGCCAAAAGCCCTGTCCGACCTGGCCATGAACACTGCCAGGGAGGGGGCATCCACAGCTTCCCTGGGCAACCTGTGCCAGTGTCTCACCACCCTCACAGGAAATAATTTCTTCCTAATATCCAGTCTAAATCTATCCTCTTGCAGTTTGAAACCATTTCCCCTTGTTCTATTGCTACCTGTCCTTCTAAAAAGAAGTCCCTCCACAGCTTTCCTGTAGGCCCCTTCAGGTAATGTAAGACTGCAGTAACGTCCCCCCAGAGCCTTCTCTTCTCCAAGCTGAACAGCCCCAACTCTCTCAGCCAGTCCTCGTAGGAGAGGTACTCCATCCCCTGATCATCTTTGTGGCCCTCCTCTGGACCTGCTCCAACAGCTCCATGTCCTGTTTGTGTTGAGGGCCCCAGAATTGGACACAGCACTGCAGGTGGGGTCTCACCAGAGCAGAGCAGAATCACCTCCCTCGCCCTGCTGGCCACACTTCTTGTGATGCAGCCCAGGATGTGGTTGGCCTTCTGGGCTGCAAGCACACATTGCCAGCTCATGTTGAGTTTTTCATTGACCGACACCCCCAAGTCAGGTGCAGGACCTTGCACTTGGCCTTGCTGAAGTTCGTGAGGTTGGCATGGGCCCATGATGAAACGCATCTAGTGAAAAAGTGTAGTGAGAAGGCATCATTGTTTGTGTCACCTGCTGTGTTGGAGAACCAGAGAAGGGTGTCCTGGAGGTCCCCCTGCTTTTCTTCCTAGCTGGCTGCTCTCTTTCTCTCTGCTTTGTTTTTACCCTAAAGGAACTTTGAACTTGATGTATGCCCTGCAAATATAAAATACATTCTAGAAATGCCAGATCTCCCATTGTGTGGAAAACCTTGAAATAAAAATCGGGTATGTTACTTATCTTTGTTGTATCTCAGTCAGAATTTAGGGAGTTAATGCATCTAGCAACCTTCAGCAAAGTGTTCAATGCTGTTTCTCAGATGTTCATGTTTCAGATGTTCAGCATCTTCAAAATTATCTGGATGAAGTTCAGAATTTCAGTATATGGTTGCTTTAAAAAAACAAGAAGAAACTGATGACTTAATATTGATTATTTTGGCATTGAGGCCCACTGCTGAGCTGTGAACCATTCCTTACCTTTATTGACCTCAGTCAAGGATGACATTTATCTAACTTGTAACTGCACACATCTACTACTTTGTCATGTTCTTAGGTGGACGTGTTTCTAGAAAACACTGCTGTGAGCAATATGAGTAAGAAAATCTTTCCAGTGTTGGAGAATGTATTTTTCCTGTAAAAAAGGCTATAATTGAGAATTATATTTACAGCTCTTCAAGATTTACTGTATATAGAATGGAAGCAGATAATAATTTTATTTATAATTTGGACTGACTCAATGGAGGAGTCATCTTTTGATAGCTTAGGGAAACAAACTGTAGGACAGTGTTTTTCTCTTGCAGATAGGTACAGCATCAGCACAAACAATATCTGACAGCAAAAAAATCCACAGGATAAAGTGTATGCCTCTGATAAGCAGAAATCACAGAATATCAGGAGTTGGAAGG